ATCACGGCGGCTCCGCCAGGTTCTCAGTGTGTAATGACAGTTCAGCATCTCCTGGTTATCTAGTAACCAGGGGAAACTGGACTGTCATTACACACTGAGAACCCGGCGGTGCCACCATATCACGGCAGCTCCTCCGTGTTCTCAGAGTGTAATGACAGTTCAACATCTCCTGGTTACCTAGTAACCAGGGGACGCTGGAGTGCCATTACACACTGAGAAACTGGCGGAACCGCCATGATATCCCAAACAACAGAGCCGCTGTCATCCAAAAACTGACAGGATGACAGCGGCTCGGATCGGAACACCGCTCGGCCATCCTGAATTGCGGCCAGCCGCCGCTCGTTCCCGGGACCCCCTCGACCCCCCCGCCGGTGATTTTTTTACGGATGCCCACTGCCACAGACCCTACAAGCAGCGGGGATCCATGGAGTCTCTCATCCCTCCCTGGCGTGTCTCCAGGGAGGAATGAGAGACTCCAGATGCTGGCGGGGGGGCGCTCGGTATTTTTGATAATAGCAGTCATCAGCGGCTTGTGAGCCGCTGATGATAGCTATTAATTTAAAGGGGACAGTCTGCTGATCAGTTCTACTATAAGCTGATGGTCGCTAAAGCGACCATCAGCTTATAGTAGAACTGTAAATGCCAGGTCCGTACGGCATACTGAGCTGGCCAGCTGGAAGCACTTTTGTAGCTCCATATGCCATACATCCTTGGCAGCGAAAGGGTTAAGCCAAGGAGGGGGGCGGAGCGGCATGATGTCAGCGGACAGTGGGCGGAGTCACCCTCCGGGTCTGAAATGCCAGAGAGGTACGTATCCTGGATCTATTACATTAAGGCAAAAGAAGTTTAATATATTTAACTTATACCCCGTTATGTATGATCCCTCAAATATTATACTTAAAGTGAGGTTGCAGTAAAAGCTGAAATAAAGAAATGTTAAGAAAAAAGAGTCAGAAAAAAGGACAAACATCAAATTTATGATTAGAAATAGACGCAACATTTAGTGAAAAATGCAATGAATTGATATGGAGCAGCAATCTGTAGCATTTGCTGTGGCATTTTCCATATGTCAAGTCTGTAAAAAAGCATAGTTAATATATCTAAAATGTATCTCAAAATCATAAGTTATTAGTCTTTGCTTTAGCATGATTATGCAAGGAATTCAAACTGATACACATTTCAGTTAGAAACAATTCCCGGTTTCATGATTAAGCTCATTGTTTAAATATGTTACAGTGATTAACATATATTGACTGCGCATGCACCTAGACCTTATCTACAAAACAAGCTTCAAAAAAAGGTCAGTTAGTTCTGAGGCTGAGACAAAATGGTTGAATATAATTAAAAAAACAAGATGGAAGTGAAAGAATTTAATGTATATACATTCGTACACAGCGTGTATACTAACCTTTAGAGTATAGCTCTCTAAAAGCATGTGGTGCAAACTAAAAAAAAGATTGCAAAATACTAATTTATCAAAAGTTTTCCCTATTTGATTGGACTGAAAGGGCTTTGTTTTATTTTTGCTCCATTAGAGAAACAAATCTAAAGTTTAGGCAAGCCTTAATGGTTACACATCGTGAAACCTGCACAACAGAGGCAATGGCCACATTCGATGGTAAGAATGACTTTGTAATAATGCAAACACACTTTTGTGTATGATGTAAATGCAGAAAATGAAGAGTTCATTACACTACTACTCACCAAAATGACTCGCGCACTAAAACATTGATTTTCATATATGTAAAATGTACACAAACACACTGTACACAAACCTATCAAAGCTGGAGCAGACAAAAACTGGAGCAGATTTGCACTGCAACCAATCAATTTCTCTGTCTAATTTTCATATCTTATCTGAGCAAAAGCAAGACAGATGCTGATTGATTGCCGTGGGCAACTGCTCCAGATTCTGTCTGCTCCAGGTTTGATAAATCCCCCCCACTGTATATGGGGAAGGTTTGTTTCTCATCCCAACAGTACTTACACTATAAGTACCGTACTAGTTTAGTAATTGTGCTACAGTATCATTTATTTCTGTGTTTGCTAAAATGCTTTTATTTGTGCACTGTATACATTACAGGTAAAATCATCTGTGAAGAGGCCAACAGCAACATGCATTCCTTTACAGGAACAATGGAGTGGAATGGAGAGAAGTATTCTTTGGATAATGACTGTATTCTTTTAAGGGGCTGTAAAATACGGAATACTAAATATTGCTTTGGATTAGTCATTTATGCAGGTACTTAGACATAACATTATACATTTTTACATATCAAATGTTATTCCTTGAACATTATCCTTGTTCAGAAACAAATCCCTACTTGATTGCAACCTTTACACATGAGCATGGAGTATGTGCAAAGTGAAATAATAGATGATTGCTGATTATTTATTATTATTGTACTTTGCACATCTCATTCCATGGTGTACATCATTTGAAGATCAGGCTAAAATAAATTACCCAACTCAAGTCTCTTCAGGAAGAAGGTGAGGTTTCACTGCAGTCCCATTCCTTCCTCAGCCTGCATATTTATAGCACAAGACATAGGTATAGTGAACAAAATTTAAAACAGAAATATTTAATATGGGTTGCTGAAACTATTGGAAAGAGTTTCCCTAAGTTCCTGCCTCCAACTGTTGTTACAACTATTGCAAAGTGAATCAGAGGAGTCATGGTCAGCTTGTTGCATGCCCAGTAATGTAAAATGAGAGAAAATCAGTAGCAGAGTAAAATGATTGTTGCGTTTTAATCAACTTGAAATTCAGGTATACAGATCTAGCTTCTGAAATGTCATGCAATATGTACAAAGCCAGTGGATGATTTAGTATGCAAAATTATAAAATAAATATTATAATTATTATTCAAATGTGTTGCAAACTATCAAAGTAATTTCTTACAAAATTACTTATTGTTAATAGTGATGGATTATTTCTCCTTAAAAGGGGTTGACACTAAAATCATGAAGAACTGTGGAAAGGTTAACATAAAGCAGACAAAATTGGACCTCATGATGAATAATCTTGTGGCCACTGTAAGTATATCTCTTATGCAGTGCTTATGTTTCATGTAATTCTGAAAATGATTATCAATCCTATATCTGTCAACATTCCATTTACTGAATTAAACTTTTGGATTTTTGGACTTTTGGACTTTATACCATAGCTGGTCCTCTTCTTTCATGTCACCGACATGGGGTACTCACAAACAGCAATTGCAATATAATTCATTGCTGTTTATGTTCCTTTAGAGGTCTACTGTCAGCTGTTAAGATACTGTTATAATTTATTTCCTTTACACCTAGAGCTGAATTATTTTATTCTAGCAAATCAGACGCAATTTTAAATTATGTATGTAAGGTATAATTTTATATTATTATGTTATATAAGATTTATAGCATTAATTTCAGGACCATTATATCAAGCGCTTGTCTAATACTGAGCTTGTTATTTTCAATGTATGATGCCCACATACATCCTGGAACCTGAAAAACCCCCAAATATTTGAAAGTCCATTACATATAGGCCAGGGGTCAGCAACCTTAAACACTCAGAGCCATTTGGACCCGTTTCTCACAGAAAAGAAAACACTGGGAGCCACAAAACCCTTTTGTCATCTAAAATTAGGATAACACGGCATATATCGTTTTTACCTTTATGCTATGTATAGCATGTATATAGGTATATGTGGGCTTAGTAACGCACTGGACTCTGGACTTACCTGAGACCCCGCAGAGCTCACCTGAGAGTGACCTGGCAGAGCACACCATAGATCCTGCACAGCCCATCTGAGACTCTCTATGGTGGGCTCTGCAGGGCCTGGTGGGCTGGTCGCCGGGGGTCCCTTTCCCTGTACTTCCTCACAACTCCTCTTACCTGCTGGGGCCCGGTCTCCTCCACCCCTCCCCTGTCACCTCTGCCATGCCACCCCTGGTACAGCTGATACTCATGTAAGAGGCTCCCCAGACCCCTCACATGGGTACTGGTGGCCGTACCCCCCTGATGGCGGTGTTCTATCAAAGTTTGTGACTGCGTTACAATGTGTGACCGGTGACGTGGTCACACATGTCAATGTAATCCCGTCCAGTTTTTTGGCGGTGGAATTTGTGACCGCCAATAGGTCAAGCATTCCAACGCTTTCTCAGCGAGGCCCCTTCGGTAGTTCCGCTCCTGGACAGGGAGCCGCAGCAAAGGGATGAAAGAGCCACATGCGGCTCCAGAGCCGCAGGTTGCTGACCCTTGATATAGGCCATTATCTCTAAACAGCCAGTGTCAATGCACATTAAGATTATTATGGCCATGCTCTCAACACTAGATAGAATTTGTAGCTAGCAAACTGTGAATGTACGAATAAAACTTGTGCATGCTTGTCTGTCAAGGAATATATTTTGCCAATAGGGATGATCCGCCAAACACAGAAGCACCATGGGCCACCTGGCCAATCAGCTGGTGGCCAGGGCCGAGGCATTATGTAACCGACAGTGTGGTGGGTAGGGGAATCCCCCTCTTCCTCCATTAGGCTATAGTTTTCAGAATGCCCGAACACTGGCTGCAATTGCTGTTCGGCTGACAATTTTTAACCTCGCTTCTTCGATTTTTTCAGATCGAAGGTTCTCAGGCTGGAGACTGCTGATAGGGCCAACCAAAGAGCAACTTTTGGCCAGTTTATTAAGAAATGTCTGAAATTTGCTCCATGTAAGGCCAGCTTTACATAGCAACAGTCTGTGCAAACTTCCATCTTCCCTCTCCTATCTCAAAAAATTTCAGATTACTTTGTTATTATTTATTTTTTGAAAACTTTTTCCCTGCCTGATAAGGTTAGGAAGGGGCTGGGAAGTTATTGTTTACCATAACTAACCCAGTCTGTACGGTGCTGTCCGATCTCATTATAAGATATAAACTAGATTTGAACACTAGAAAAATGTTCAAAATATCACCGGCGCCAAAAAACGTAACAGCTCCCAGAGACAACTCCAAACACACGGGAGCAGCTCCTCACAGTCAGGGCGAACCTAATATCTAATAGGAACAGAGCAAAGGGAGCGCCTTCATAGTGTAAAACTGATTTAATGAAAGTTAAAATACAGCTGAAAATGTACTTACAAACAGCCAGTTAAACGAGCATGGAATGTGATAATCTCGAGATGATCAAGATGGACAAACAAAATTGAAGTGAAAATAAAGGAAGTGCTAGTGCTGAGCCGAAGCCAGCACAAGTGTACAGATGGCCTCGGCTCAGCACTAGCACTTCCTTTATTTTCCCTTCCATTTCGTTTGTCCATCTTGATCATCTCGAGATTATCACATTCCACGCCAGTTTTACTGGCTGTTTGTAAGTACATTTTCAGCTGTATTTTAACTTTCATTAAATCAGTTTTACACTATGGAGGCGATCCTTTTGCTCTGTTCCTATTAGATTTCAACACTGTCTGTTCTAACAAAGGGTAAATGATCTCAGGACTGTTCTGCACTGTATGTACGAGAGGAAACTAAAGGTGCCCATACACCTTACAATTATCTGCAGATTTTCTGTGGTCAGATGGAAAAAGTGCAACAGATTGGCCCAGGTGGAGATTACTCCATCCACACAGTTGCACCTTTTCCATCTGACCACAGAAAATCTGCAGATAATTGTAAGGTGTATGGCCAGCCTTAGTCTGTCCATACTTTTTCCCCGTCTACTTTCACTTTCAAATTGTTCAGAGTAGTTTGCATGCCTGCTCTAAAGAAACATATAGAAATGTATGAAATATTTTAGAAATATATTTTTTAAGTATCCTGTGTTAATGGGAACACAACAAACATATAGTGGGTGTTCTCAATTTTGTCAACAAAACTGGAAATACAAAACAAGTGGACTGCTGGCACCGTTCTATAATGCTTGTATGCTGCCATCACTTCTGTGACTGCTGGGGCTTGTTGTTCCATATTGCTGTCTGGACACTGAGTCTGGTACTGCTCCAGGCATTGTGTGAGAATTAGATCTGTGTCCTATACATAGAATGGTGTTGGCATTGGACTGTTGGGTGGTGCACCCAAACCTTTATAGTTTGATTTTTTGGACTTTTCCCTTTGTTTGTTCCCACCTTTACCATCCTTGATCCACCTGCAATATTGGGTGCCAAAACCCCCTCAATAAACACCCTGCAGATCGGGTCCTGTGTGCAAATGTTGTCAAATTTTCACCCGGCATTTTTTCATTGTGCAAGACCACACAAGATCTTATTTAACCACATGTGCTGTGATTCAGTTCTTTCTACAACTCAGGGATAAGGACTTGTATCTTACTAATCACAGATCTTTCACTTTTTGCTTAGTACTAGTTAAATCAGAGAGTTTAGGGTGGGAGAGTGTTTAAACGTTTATATAAACAAGAAGCAATACATTAGTGAGTGATATTTTTCTAGTGGGGCCATAACTTGGTAAACACAGAGGGCATTAGCAAATTTTACTTTATCACTTTGACCTATTGACTTAGTAGTTTGTAAAGATTATTTGTCTTCCTAATTGTTGAAATACCAGAAAATGAATTGTTGTTTTGCCAGTAATGAATGCACTACATGTACTGTAAAACCAAACTTTTCTGAGATTTGAAACTAAAGTTCATTTTCTTATTTTAACTTATAGGTATTTGTGGTTTTAATTATATGCTCCCTGTCACTAGCCATTGCATCAGGATTCTGGACTAAATGGTTCCAAGAAAAGCACAGTTATATACCACCTCTACCTTCCAATGAAACACCGGCTTACAGTGCATTCCTTGTCTTCTGGGGTTATACCATACTGATGAGCACGATTGTGCCATTGTCAATGTATATCACGTAAGCAAACATAATTGTTAGTACAGAAAAAAATGTACACATGCAATCTGACAGTAGACTGTTTAATAAAATCTCATTATTGACTAAGTAAATCAAACCAAATAGAATCTATATGGGAACCATATATGCAGACCCATCTGCAAATTAATTATTAAATATTATATCAAAAAGAAATGTAAGCAAACCTTTTTAAATGTAGTCTTAACAAAGAAATAAAACCAAAGATAAGAGTCAAAATTAGGGTTCCAGATTCTAAGTCATGAGGTGAACAATAAAACTTCCTATACATTGATACAATATTGAGATACTAGTCTTCCTTGTTTGGCACCCATACCTTTTATTAAGATCAGATTAAGGTAAACCTCATGGGGTGGAAAGATGTCTCAGACTGTAGATTTAGGTAGCAGGGTGCTTAAAATGTTGGGATTAATGGGGCGTAACTAATGTGTGTGTGTGTGTGTGTGTTTGAGATAGGGAGGAACAAAATTAGTGGGAAGGAGGAAGTGGAATTGAAAAAAACAGGAGTATAAAGAACATATTGGAGAAGTCTTGTTGGCTTAATTACATGTAGTATAGGAAATTACAGCATAGAAGCTATAAGATAAAATTGTAGATGACATTGTCTGCCCCACGTTTTCAGATGGTGCAATACATTAAAGGATGGGGAGAGTTACACAAACATTTTTGTGTATGTGGAAAACAAGTTTATCTTATTTTATTTTTCTTAGAATTTTTTTTATTTGTCTTTATAAACCATTACCCATTGTTCTGATTTCATTATGTTGTTGACCCTAGCCTTCTGTTCCAGTATATTTGGGCTTTACTCTTGTTTCCCTAAAAATATTGAGGAGATGTGGAAACTTTTCTTGTATGATCCAATTAAAGCATGAGTATGTATTAGTAACGTCAGAGAGTAATTTACTATGGTTTAAAGTGCTGACTTTTCTATCTGTGTCCCTATGGTTTACCAGAATGGTCAAATTGTTGGGCAGCTCCTGCAGATATGGAGGAAAGTACCTTCTCTCTATAACTCCCCAGTCGAGGTTGAAGTAGGGAAACATAATGGCTAGTTTAGTTGGTACCCTGCACCACCTTGTGAGAAATTTAAAGCAAAATTCCTGTCTCCTCATATTGATGGAGGATGCATGTGTTAGGTTCATACTTTTCTCACTTTCTGGAAGGATATACAGGTGAAACTCGAATAATTAGAATATCGTGCAAAAGTAATTGCAGTAAGTGCTGCAAAAGGGGCCCAAACCAAGTACTGAGTACATATGCATGCTTGTACTTTTCAGAGGTCCGATATTGTTCTATGTACAATCCTTGTTTTATTGATTGCATGTAATAATCTACTTTTTTGAGGTTGTGGATTTGGGGTTCTTGGGGTTTTCATGAGCTGTAAGCCATAATCATCACAATTATGACAAATCACGGCTTGAATTATCTTGCTTTGCATGTAATGAGTCTATCTCATATATTAGTTTCACCTTTTAAGTTGCATTAGTGAAATAAATGAACTTTGCACGATATTCTAATTATTCGAGTTTCACCTGTATGTACACCCCCAACTCCTGTTTTTTTTGTCCTTTATCCTTTTTGTTTTGCCTTCCTCTGCCCCAACACAGAAGAAAGTGTAAGAGGTTGAACTTGATGTGTACAACACACAAAAACTGTAAATACTATTCTTTAAAATTAAAGTCAGAAGTACAGTTAAGATATTCATGGTTTCAAGTGATGTGCTGTTGCAAAGTGCACCCAAACATCTGCAGGCAGTAGTTTTAGTGTACTTTACATACAGTGCTGTGTTGAATGTCCTCTTAGAACACCTTATCACAATGCTGAAACCACATTCACTTTCACTGCTCCATCCAAATCCAAGCTCCACCGCTCAGGCTTGACGCAGGTGCTGGCCAGGAGCTGTTCACATTCTACAATCAAAACAATCCAAGGGTTCTCCCACTTTTTCCCAAGAGGATCGACAGCCCTTCTCAGCCTTAAAGGATAGATAAAGGTTTCTTCTATAAATTAATTTTGCTTCCTTGGAGTCAATAATATAATTGGCTCTCAGGATATGGGCATAGGTTTAGTATTGATGTGGGTGTATACCAACATTTGGAAGACATGTTTAGCTTGCAGGGGAGGGGGATAGGTCTCCAGTTCTTTCACTGGGGGAGTCTGTGGGATTTGACAGGGGGCACAATTACTACTGTACTTACTACTTGCCTTTGTGTTTTTTTTGTAATGTTATTCACTGTCATGCTTTGTTACTGTGTTGTCTTCAAAACTTCTTGAAAATAAACCAATCCAATGATAGCAAAACACAGCCGATCTTCACCAAACGTATGTTTAATGTTAAAATCCAGCTGTCCGCACAATATAAACCCCATCCGATGATCACCCACATCTAATGCATTTCACCCCTTCGGGCTTCGTTGTAGAGATGTGGGTGATCATGGGAGGGATCCTTATGCACAAACCTATAAAATTACAGGTAAAAGGGCTCAAGCTAATAACTTCATGCACTTTGTTAAACCACTCATCACATGTACACTGTGTTCACTAAAACAGAAAACATTTCCCATGCAGAGTATTTTAAAAAGAATCAATGTATTTCATATACATAATATTTTTGAAGAAATAAATAAATACATTATAGCTGCTATTTCAGCACTCATGAAAAACAAACACACAACATTCCTTAGGTGCTGTGAACCGACAAAACTAAAATTATACCATAATCCCTCTCAATATATTGCAAATTCATTCTCCCCATGTGTGTGGAGACATTTCAGCCCTATTTTGTCTGACACTATCCTTAAAAGCAAATGTTATTGGAAGCATTAAAACCAGAGACATACACTGTTGGGATTTCATTTGTAATCATTCGTCAGAGCATTCAATCTTGCCATCATTGAGTCAACTAATTTTGTGCGAAAGACATTAAAAATTTCCTCCAGACCTGCTACTTGAATAGAATTTCAGACATATCAAACCGGTTCCTTATGTACACGGGTAGAGGCCACAAGGTGGGAGAGGGGTTGATTAAAGGGGGGACCATAGAACCAGGTTTTTGGTTTTACACATTCACCACAGTTTAAAGCACAACAATTTTTCTCTCAACATCTCAATTTTTCACTTGGCAGAGTTTAATAATCACATATTTACAGGTGCTTTCTATTTTCTCTCTACCTTTTTGTAACTGAAATATCTGAGTTTCTAAGCATTTTTATAAAAATATGCTCATGAGGGAGCTGATAGAAGATGAAACCAAAAAAATATACATTAGTCCTATATAGGTTGAACTCGATGGACTTGTGTCTTTTTTTTCAACCTGACTATTTGACTATGTAACTTACTATTCAGCACACCCTGAGTGCTGAAGCTAAGTGCCTTAGCTATATGCTGTCATAGACCCACACGGTTCAGAGCTCCGTGTCAGAGGGTTCGGTCCGTTCGTGACATCACGGTCGACTCCTCCCCCCGGCCGTAGCTACTCCTTAAAAGCACAGCTGAGCCACTCACTCGGCGTACTATCGTTCTGGATCGTCGAGCGAGTGACTCTCTGTACTGAAACAGAGACTGCATTACTGCACGAAGTAATAGCCTTGTTCCATCGCTGCCTCCCACCATTACCAAACGAACCTGTCCTAGGTCCATCCTGAAGCCGTACCAACAACTCATCTTGAATAGTGATACCATCCACAGTTGTTCCCTGCTGTCTACAGAGAGTTCAATCAAACGCAAGTAAAGGGATAATTCCCAGCTGTTACTACTACTCACTAAGCTGGTTGTGCTGTAGTGGGATTCAGGAGGGAGCTACACAGATTCAAACCTCCTGTCTCCTTTCATACACTACTAAAATTGAGTTGATGAACTGTGCAAGGAAACAAGTTGGTTATAATATGACTGTTGCACCAATTACTTAGAACCGTATTGCTGGATTGATGTACTGTGAGAGGTGTTTCACAACTGCTGGTTGCTCTCACTTCCATAAACTGCATTGCTGATTCATAGAACTGTGTCTAGAGAGATATCCTGTTCCAATCTCCCAAATTCACATGCGGGTTCACTTCATCCTATTAGTAGCCATTTCTCAAACCATTGCAACTACAGACAAACAAATTACGTATCAAGTAACCAATTGTATTGCTTATACTCCTACCCCAAATCCAATCTAGCTGTAGGAAGATCCTACTCACCGGTTACATATGCAGATCTACTTCCAACTCTTTACTGCTACTTCCTCCAACCCAAACTACAGAGACTGATAGCTCCAGATCCTGCTGCCTCCTATAGCATCAGGGTAATACATCGCCACCACATAGGAATAGGGGTATATGATGTGTAACGGTTCCCCTTGGTACTGAGTGCATTGGGGTTCCGCAAAACTGAGCCCAAACATTACACTTCACACACACTCCGTAGCTGAGATGCGCATTAGACATAACCGTCGACTGTTACATATGCGCTATTTTGTCTGACCTATGGCGCCATGTATAAATGTCTCCGGATGTCAATACCAGTCCGCTGATGTTTTACTCTCATCCTCTTGTCTCCCTCTGTCATGTTTTTTACATGTTGTTTGAATTCTGTTAAAAATGGTAATGTAATAAAAACTGATTCAACACTAACTTACTATTCAGTTTGGCATAGCTGCAAATTTATGTAGAGTACTGAACACCATTTTCATATTGTTTATCTTGCCGTTAATAATTTATGTTATTGTAATAATTACTGTAATAATATATTATTTTGTAGATTGGAATTCATCCATCTAGTCCACAGCATGTACATTGATTGGGATGTGGATATGTATTTTGAGCGGAACAACACTCCAGCCAAATCCAGGTCTACTAGCCTAAATGACTTGCTTGGTCAAATAGAATATGTTTTCACTGACAAGACGGGAACACTGACAGAGAACATCATGACGTTCAAAAAATGTTGCACGAATGGAAACGTTTATGGTAAAGGCCACTAACAGATAATGGTCATAAATATCGGTTTTGTTATCTTATATAGAATCCTGAGTGTTCTTGATATTAGTAGTAGTAGTGCATGTTCTTTAATATATTACTAATTACATGTGTCTATTTTTTCAGGGACCAGTTCACACAATGAGAAGAGTCTACAGGTACTGAAGAAATAAATTTAATATGTGTACGATTTTCATTATAACACTAGAGAAAGGGGGGGAGGGCATTATTAAACTAGAGAAAGGGGGGAGGGCATAAAAATAAAAATATGTAACTTAAATAGTGAAAACATAAACATGGATACAAATAATACAGTGGATAAAGGGGTAAATAGTGGGCTCACTCCAGTCACCAGTGCCAAAGCAGTTAATATAGTAAATCCTGTGGCCAAAGGTAACATAATTATCTTGGGCCGACCAGTAACAAGGCCAAAAAATAAAAGTAGCGTGGAACACGATGGAGGTAAACTTTGGCCCCATAACAAGACAGGAATTAAATGTATGTATACCAACGCTAGAAGTCTAGTTAATAAATTAGAAGAGCTTGAACTTATGATACTCGAAGAGGACTTCGATATAGTGGGAATAGCGGAAACCTGGCTAGACAGCGCACATGATTGGGCCACCAATATAGAGGGGTATAACCTGTTCAGGAAGGACAGAAGTGGGAGAAGGGGGGGGGGAGTGTGCATTTATGTTAAAGATAATCTAAATATGCATATAAGGGACGATATCACGTCAAATAGTGGGGAGGACGTGGAATCCTTAGGGCTAGAACTAGAAATAATGGCCGCTGGGCGTAAACTAATTGTGGGTATTTGTTACAAACCGCCAAATATAGGGGAGGAGGAGGAGGCTCAACTACAGTCCGAAATAGAAATAGCTGGGAGGGAAGGCAATGTAGTCGTGATGGGCGACTTCAATTATCCAGATATAAATTGGGCTAATGGAACCTCAAGTTCAACAAAGGCGGGCCACTTTCTGAACATGTTGGAGGTCCCAACTAGGAAAAATGCCATCCTAGATTTAATCATTACTAATAATGCAGAGTTAATTGAGGATATTGTAATTGGGGAGACACTGAGCAATAGTGATCACAATGTGGTTACTTTCAATATTGGATACAGGAAAGGGAAGCGGGCTGGTAGGACAAGAACCCTTAATTTCAGAAGAGCTAACTTTGATAAACTGCGCCACCTAGTGGGGGAAATAAAATGGGAAAATTTATTTCACAAACTGAACTTGGACCAAAAGTGGGAATGTTTTAAAAACACATTACATATTGCCGTTGCCAAATATATACCGTTGGGTAATAAAAGTAAAAGATCACAAACAAAACCTGTATGGCTGAATAAAAATGTGAAGCGAAAAGCGAGTGGCATTTATAAAATATAAGATGGAGGCGACGGCATTGGCGTTCCATAACTACAAAGAATGTAATAAAAGATGCAAACTAGCAATACGGACAGCTAAAATAGAGTGCGAAAAGCATATTACCACAGATAGTAAAAAAAAAAATCCCAAATTTTTTTACCAATATATATAAACAGTAAAAGGAGAAGGGAGCAAATAGGCCCAATAAAGGACGATAACGGGAAGTTAGTCACAAATGACAAGGAAAGGGCCGAAGTGCTGAACACTTTTTTCTCCTCCAGTATACACTCAGGAGGGAAAAGGGTTTCACACCCATAACAAAACACACAGTTCATCACAAAATATAGCCAAGTGGTTGACGGAAACCGGGATACAAAAAAGACTTAGTCTACTCAATGCAAATAAAGCGTTGGGACCGGATAATCTGCACCCCAAGATACTTAAGGAACTAAGCACGGTTATAACTAGACCATTATTCCTCATTTTTAAGGTCTCTGTAATGACTATGATTTCCGCAAATAGTCTGGAATCATTCAAGAAGCTTTTGGATGATTTCCTGAGAGACCGTAATGTACAAGGCTACAGGTACTCTTAAGAATGCGAACACTAAGGGACCTATACACACACACACACAATAGGTTGGACTTGATGGACTTATGTCTTTATTCAACCTCAAATACTATGTAACTATGCTTAATTAATTAGTTAGGGCCAATAAATAGTATTTTTTTTAACCAAAAAGAGAACAAAAAAAAAGGAACGTGGAGAAATAATGCCCAATTTAGCCAATTATATTCCACTCCCAGCTAATATTTTTATCTGTGTATGTACAATGCCCACCTCATTTTTCTTCTACTAGTGTTTATAAAGTTGGCATCAATAGATTGTTACTTTCCTTATAGTATCAGTTAGAATATTATTATTATTTTAAATAAAATCTCAAATGACCAGTGAGGAAAGAGTGAAATTTGTTGTTGAAATTATTTTGTAATTCTCAGGCAGTGAGCTTCAAGTGGAATAAATATGCCGATACTAAGTACAGTTTCTACGATCAGTCATTAATTGATAAAGTTTGCCAGAACAAGGATGACATCCTAAAGGAATTTTTTCGACTGCTATCAATTTGCCACACGGTCATGGTGGATAGGAATGGAGGTAAGATGCAGTCTTTCTGCCAGGGGACATAAAATTCAGGTTAGAAACATCTTTTATAGTTTATTGTGCAACCAAACATTTGATGCAACTGCTATAAAGCCCTAGTGTTCCCAATGTAAACCATGAAAATCCCCACATCTGTCCAAACTTTAACAAAATGCAAAAATAATTATTAGTTTAAAGTACATAATTTGACCAGTTTTGGGGGCTTTCACTGGAAAAATACCTAATTACTAAATTTAAACTTATATTACACTAGTTCTGGGTTATCCAGAGTGAGCATTATTGGTCCCCAAGGGTTTATGGTACTTTCCAAGGGGTCTATAAAAAGGTTGGGGGCTCAAAAGGGGTCAGTAAATGTCTGGAGTACAGTATTTAATTGATAAATGATGGAAGGTCGATTTGGAACAATTAATCTTTTGAGATCTCTGTAGACCTCCAGGCCAGTTCTCAGTTCCAAAGGTAAGGTGACTAGAGGCGTGACAGTGTTACCCAGAGTCACCAGTGAGAGTGGCCTTGAGTTTCTCTGTGTTGTGTTGTGTGTCTGCGAACTTCCAACCCCCCTTCTTGGAAGGATATTCATTTGTGTTCACTGTAATGAGCGTACACCCCCACCCCGCTCTTCCCTATAGAGTACACCCATATCAAAAGGAGTGCTGCCACAGCACTGATTGCTTTCATTTATTTAAATTTCAGCATTGTAACAGCTATAGAGGTGGCAGCTGATACCAAGAGAAAGTGTCGACAGTATTTACAGGAATATTATTTTTTTATCACTTATTATTATTCATAGTACTATTATTTAAAAAAGATTTAAAGTGACAGTAAACTCAGGAGTAACATTTTAAAATTGCATTCAAGTACCTTAACTGTTAACAAAAAATTATCTTATTTGTTCTGACACTTTCCTTCCTTCTGCTTTTGTTCCTCATGGTCTCTGTGTATGTTGTAAAGTGGCCACTACCCAAGCTCCCTCCCATGATAGACTATGTCACAGTCTAGCAAGGTTTGGGTTAGTATGGATCTCAGCTGCGGAGATTGATAAATAGGATTGAGGGTTTGGTTCAGTTTGGTGGACCCCAATGCACTCAGTACCAAGGGGGAACCGCTTAACATCATGTACCCCGACCTATGTTTGTTGGTTTGACGTAATACACTATGCCAATAATGGTAGTACTAAGAAAGTAAGTTTGAGGAAGTGGCCGTCAATAGGTTGGAGTAGATCCGCATATGTACTAACCATTTTTGTCTAAACTGTGAAGCAGCATTATATATGCATCATGTGCATGATTTTTCCATATATGGCATTAGTGGAAATATGCTTTTAGAGACTTTTTGGTTGATAAATACGTTTTGCTGTGTGAAAATCACACACACCTGGTGCGTGCGTGTGTTTAGGTTAGTAAATCACCCCCACTGTCTCTGGCTCTGTTCTCAGAGCCAGAGACAGATAGAACACCGATTGAGTGGCTCAGCTGTGTTTTTGAGGAGGAGCTGCGGCCAAGGGGAGGAGTCGGCCGTGACGTCATGGACGGACGACACGCCTCAAAAACAGAGCTCTGATCCGGGTAGGTCTGTGACAGACTATAACTTCAATACAAATTAGCTAACTAAACATGAGATTGTAGTCCATCACTGGAGTGAGCTTGGAGTGGTAGCTACTTTACAACACACACAGGGAACATGGGGAACAAAAGTAGCCACCCTCCAGAAGGAAGTACAGTGTCAGTACAAATTCAGAGATGATTGGGGAATCTCCAGCTAAGTGATACACAAATAAGGTAGATTTTTGTTGATAGTTAAGGTACTTGAATGCATTAATAAAATTTAACTCCTGAGTTTAGTGTCACTTTAATGTGAAACTTCATGAAGGGGCCAATGAACTATAGAGTTGGAGATCCCTGCACTAGACACTGATAAACCCTGGATTTCCTTGTTCTCTTGTGCATTTCAGATGACTTGCTTTATAAGGCAGCAAGTCCTGATGAAGAAGCCTTAGTCACAGCAGCGAGGAACTTTGGTTATGTTTTTATGTCCCGGACACAAGACACTATCACTACAAATGAACTTGGGGTAGAAAAAATCTACCAAGTCTTGGCTCTTCTTGACTTTAATAGTGTCCGTAAGAGGATGTCTATATTAGGTGAGCATGCTTGCTTTATGCTTTCTGTACGCTTTTTTTTTTTTTTACATCCAGTTTCTGATGGTATCTATGTTATATTAACAACAGTTAAAGATCCAGAAGGAAAGATTAAACTTTACACTAAGGGAGCAGATGATGTTATTCTAAAGCGCCTTCATCGTCATTGTGAGAACCAGGACATAACTGTAAAAGCTTTGGAGGTGAGTACTAAATGGCTGGGTGACGATTATTTAAATTGGAAATCCAGCCACAAAATAAAACAGAGAAGGGTCATAAACTCTGTCAGTATGTTATGGCCATTTGTGGCCCAATTAGACATATGTCCATACTTTCTCATCACAAGGAACCAGAAGCCAGAGGGAATCACTGCAACAGTGACAGTCAGCAAAAAAAAAACAACCGAAGGTATAGCCTTTCTCTGCTCCATCCAAAACAAAACAAACACAATACATTTTTGGCTGGTGTTCTAATTTATTGTCTGTGGGTTTCATAAAGAAGTTTCTAATGGCACAACTATGTGCCATTAGCGCTGTGCAAACTATTGGCGCTATATAAATCCTATATAATAATAATAATAACTATGTGGATATCCAGATATATACTATTACCCAATTTGTATGTGAGCTACTGATTTGCGAATAAGCAGATCTCTCCCTTCTTTAAGATCACTGAGAGTCAAAGGAAGTCATTATGTGTTTATGTCCTCCCCACCATTGATAGCCATGAAATGTTGAGAAGAGGAAATGGCCACATACAGTTTCTAATCTCTAAAATTCTTTCATAAGTGTATGTGTTGGATTTATTATAAAGCAAGTGGTTTTTTTTCTTCACAGAGTAGATAGTGTTTCTGAAATGACACTAGGATTATATTACTTATATACAGTAAAAGTTAATAGTACCTAGCAGAGTACTTCTGTAAGGTTGATCAAAATAATTTGCCTCCTGCCATCTCTTGCATAGAAACAGTCAGAGTGGGAGAGGCAGTTCTAGGAGCTCACCAGGTCTGCTGTGTTTACTTGTGCTAACAGGGAACATGTAGAGAGGAAGAGATCAGAGTGAGCAGAGTTGATGCCATACCAGTGTTTTTCCAGTTTTTGATTGTCCAAGCAACAGCCTGTGGATTGGTAGGTGACACTACTGTATTCCCTACTTCTGACAGAAAGCGGTGTCACTTTCTATGCTGGGATGTCTGACAGTGGTGTGTAAATCACAAAAGTGGCTAGACAGTGTTAAATCCTTTGTCAGAGAAGACAGCTCACATATGTGTGATTAGCTATTTACCTGCATTAATAAACAGAAATTATATTCTTAGCTTGATGTTTCAAAACTTTACTTGCACATACTATTATTAATATGGGGTAGCACAGTGGCTTAGTGGTTAGAACTTCTGTCTTGTAGCAATGTCACCATGGCATTTGCATGTTCTCCCTGTTCATGTGTGGTTTTCTCCAGGTACTCTGGTTTCCTCCCACACTTTCAGAACATGATGTGAAGTTTTCATGTTCTCCTTTTGCTTGCATGGGTTTCATCCAGGGATTCCAGTTTCCTCCCACACTCCAAAAACGTGTTAGTAGGTTACCTTGCTCATGTCTCAATTGGCTTTAGTATGTGTGCATGTGTATGCATGTGAGATAGCGACCTTAACTTGTAAACCCCTTGAGGGCAGAGGCTGATGTGAATGTACACTATGTAAAGCATTGCATAAATTGTTGGTGCTATAATAATGCCTGTAATAATAAATAACATGGCTGCACCGACTCATGTGTAGGCACCTCTAGATTATGGGGCTGAGCCAGCTCATAGCTTAGAACCCAGAAGCATACAGTTTTGAGCATGTGAGGGTTTAGTGTGTACAGAGGAGATTTATGAACTGGCATCCTGAGTGTCAGGTTGGCTGTCAAACTCCACAGCTCCTCGCAAAGTAAAGGACCAACTATCAAACTGACAGTGGAGCCCTACTTGCATAGCGAATGTAGGCAAGAAATATAATACTGAAGCAACCAAGCAACATGACAGCTAGACATCTACCACTATGAGAAGGACAAGTCATTATCAGCAGCCTCCATGTTTCTCCAATGACAGGTTTTCCCTATTGTAGTTAGATAGTGGGTAACAAATCAGGTAATGTTTTGTTGTGAAATTACATTGCCTACTGATCATACCTATTATTTTCAGCTTTCCATTGTGTTGTTTCTGGAAGGATTGGTCTGTTACTTGGGGAATAGTGTCTCATATTGGGATATGTTGTCTCATATTTACTAAAGAGTTACCTAAGATCTACCAGTGTGCTGCACATCTCTTTTGATCATCTAGATGTTCGGTGAGGAGACTTTGAGAACTTTGTGTATTGCGTTCAAAGAGGTAGATGCTTCTGTGTATGCAGAGTGGAGTGCAAAACACCATCAGGCCAGTGTTGCCCTACAGAATCGATCACAGTTGATGGAATTGGTTTATGACGAAATGGAAAGTAACCTGCAGGTATGAAAATAGTTGTTTATAATAATGGTATTTTAGTAAAATATTAGTAAAATCATGAGTTAAAGCTGAGCACATGACATTAGGGGAATCTGTGAGGGCAAAATTATAAGAACTGCCGTTCCATCTAGGAACACCGATTGGTTGGCTTTCTATCTGCATTACTTCTTGAATCGCAGACCCAGAAGCAGATAGATTAAAAAGTCACAGTGAATTTACTATTCCTGACCTGTATGCTTGTTTGCACCTATTATTGAGTATTGAAGCAATTTAATCAGTAATCAGGAAACTCAGAAGGGCAAGCCAGCGATGGCTGCCTTCATATTTCCTCAGTACAGGTATCCTTTAAGGAAGAGTCCAGTTAGGTTATTTGACAAATAACGTACATAATTTAGGGTTAAGATTGTGTACCCACTTAGTAGTAAAGTGCATGTGTAACATTTATAAATGCTGTCTAAAGGTAATTATTTTTCTTAACATAAAGTTCAGTACTGTATTTCATAATTATATTGCTTTCGTAACAGTAAAAACATATGATATTTCGAGATTTCGATAAGTCCAAATGAAAATGGGTGCCGGTTTTCCTCTGGAATGGATTTACTATTCTGAATGTGTCATGTGGATGGAGAGAGAACTGTCAGTTCAAACTGCCAGTGTAAGTTCATTGAGGGACACAGTATTCAGAGATTTGGATTATATTGCCAGCTACAGGAAGATTTGGACATTGACAAACATAAAAAGAGTGGCCACCCTGGTAAAACCCCTCCCACTCCCAGCATTCCTCAGTTTTCTGCTAGTGTCCTAAGGAGATAGTTGCCTTTGCCTTTTCTCTAATGAGAAAAGTAACTGGTTTTTTTAGCTGGGTTTTTTTTCTCAAGATCATGTTTTTTCTTAAACACTGTTACACATTGCTTTAGCTAGTCTCTTTATGCAGCTATCCAGATTGGCATATCTTCAGCAATATCTTTAAAGGCTGTACATGGACCCTGATGGTTTGGACTTGTGGGGCCTGCCTGGAATTGGACTTTCGGGCACTGGGCAGGTGCTTATGGTGCATTCCAGACCTCTGTGTGCTGTGTTAGCCAGAGAGCTCTTTGCAGGTCTAGTGCTGTGGCACAGCCTCTGGTAGGTCTATGAAGGCATTTATAAGTATGCCACATAGGCTGAGAACTGGGAGCTACTTCATTTATTACAATCATTAGGTGACATTATTAAATGCAGAGAAATTAAGTACTGGATCAATTGGTGGAGTGTCGCACGTCACACTTGCTCTGTTGCACCCATTCATTGCGAGGTAGCGACTACTCCTTATTGCAAGAAAAACGCTACAGTGACCTGGTCACATCTCACCATATGAGCCTTTTTTGCTCCCAGCATTGGGTTCATAAGTCCTCAAGGTTTCTACCTTGTGTTTTAGATAAATTGTTCCTGTTTGTGATCAACATGTTGGATCACAAACAAAGGGAAGCAATTCCACTGTATTGGGTCTCTCTGCCTCAAAATTCACTAACAGTTTAAAGGCAGCCCGCAGTGTTCCCTCTCAAGCACTTGAAACTGACAGCCTGGAACATTTTCCACTGCATGAGTCTATACATCCTTTAGATTCTTCTATGGCTTTGTCGGGTGAGGCTACTTGGAGAATGTTACTGCAGTTATGCAGCAATGTTTATTGAAGACTTTGACCACAGAGTGCATAAGCTTAACTTTATGCCTTCCCCTGAAACATGATTATCTCATCTGTCTGCAGCCTAAGTGGCCTCTGAGCCTTCTTAAGGATTTCCACCCTTTCCTGTCGAGGCACACTGAACTAAATCCGTGAGTGCTTCTTGGGCCTTTCAGCATTAGGTAGCTGCCACCTTGTCCTGTTTACACATTCTCTAAGTTTTAGCAGGTGAATTTCAGGCCCCTTCTGGTGCCAGCTTTAGGTTTTTCAAGCAGGTCTGTGAGCTGCAGGCATTCCCCAGTTTGTTTATAGATTCCGGATTGTTAGCATTTTGTTAGCTGTATTGTCCACCCTTCAGTTAGACTGCTTTTGGTTGTTCCAAATGTCTATGAATCCTGTTTCTCATTAAACAAAAAAGAAAACAGCATTTTTTTACTTACTGTATGATCCATTACTGTATAATGATTGTTATAAAACGGAGGCATGCTGTGAGTGGGAGGGGTTTTATCAGACTGGTCACTGTTTTTTTGTTTGCCGGTGTCCAAATCGTCTTGTAGGCAGCAGTATAACCCAAATGTCTCTGAATCTTCTGAATCTTCTGTTTCTCTGTACAATGAGTACACAAATTCTTTTTTTTTTAATTATATGTATGACATTTTTTTACAGTGAAACCTTAACTAGACTGTTGTATATTTCACACTGTGTTTGCAAAGCATGGTAAAAAATAGAAAGCCAAGCAGTGCTTATTGGAAGACTGTATTAATCTTGTAATTAAGATGTTGCCATCTTTGCTCCTCTTACTTATTAAGGTCTATCTTTAGTACAACAGTTGTTATCAACACCTATTTGAGTTCCTCCTGGGGGCTGCAAGAGGGCATTTTTTCCTAGTGCTGCTCTAAATATTCATAAGCAATATTTCATATATAGGTTTGGGTCCCTTTATAGTGTTTGCACACTTTTGAAACTTTTTGCTCCTACGTTACCACATTATAGGGACCCTGTTGCTATAAAGAGGAAAAGCATATCTGTCAAAGAGGAATACTCAGTTTTCCTGCTGCTTTTGCCACTAAACTCCTCTCTGATGTTGAGAAATTGTCCCCTAAAGTCTGCTGGGAAACTGACACTTCTGGGAGTGTTGATCTTCTGGGTCCCCAGCAGGTCTAACTAGTCTCTCCATCTGACTCCACAACACCACAGAACAGAGTGGTGACGTGAAATCAGAAAGAGAGGAAAAATACATTTGTGCAGTAAATGCGTATATTAATGGTGCTATTTGTAGCATAATTAACTTTTTATAGAATGATTTACCTTCATAGTTACTTGGTGCAACTGCAATTGAAGATAAGTTACAAGACAGTGTCCCAGAAACAATACAACTACTGAAAAATGCTAATATGAAAGTATGGATGCTGACTGGAGACAAGCAAGGTATTCTACAATTTCATTAGATATTTCCTGCACTGACATGCTCACACATATACAGCCATGGTGGTGTTCAGCTGAGATTCCTAATACCAGACATTTAATTTAGCTAAAGAAAAGAACCTTTATGTTGGCATAGAGCAGCCGCAACAGAAGCATGTCTGTCAAACACCAAAATGGCTATGAACGTTTACGGCACTAGTATAAAGTTGCACTTATGCCACTGTTCAAGTTCATGCTAACTGATCACATGACTTTTCTATCCAAACAAAAACCATGTGGTTAGCTGGCCCTTCATTGACATACTAATCACATGACCTTTGTTTGTAAACAAAGACTATGTAAAACAGTGCGGGGATCTGACATAGTTTTCTTTCTGTAACAAATGTATTGCATGTTACACTCCATTGCAATGTGACATAGCCTCTGTTTATAAACACTAGCCATTTGGGGCTTGTTCACACCAAATGCAGACCAGATCTGCATGAGTTTCTGCACACACAGTGCAGTGTGTTTTGCCGCGTTTGTGACGCGTTCAGGGCCGTTTTTTAGTTTAAAATGGGCTTTCAGTGCATTCCAGTGCGTTTGAATGCGTTTTTGATGTGTTTGCATGCGTTCCAGAGCAGGTAAAATAGGGCTTGCTGCAGTTTTTCTACATGCTCTGGAACTGAACGCTGCTGTTTGAACTAAAATACCATTGGAATACATTGGATGCAGTTTTGATCCGGTCAGTAACTGCTCTGCTCCTGGAACGCGCTTGGTGTGAACTAGCCCTTAATGATTAGCAGGTAAAGGGAAGACTTTCAGATCCATCATTGTAAGAGTTAGATGGTTTGTCCCATGTCCTTTAACTGTCACTTTTGCTGGACCACTTGGCCTGTTAAAGGAAATGGGGAAAAACCAGCTCTACTGGCAGGGTTAACAGGTAATAAAACTATGTTTTAGGATGGATTAGAGATGTGGTGGACTGTCAGTGGTGAGCAATACTTACCTACATATTTTCAGAAAATTGTTAAGACATTTTCCTTTCAAACTATATATTTTTTGTATTCTGGTGTAATTTCTACACTTTATTTTAATCAGAAACTGCAATCAATATTGGCTTCTCGTGCCAATTGCTCTCGGATGACATGAATATCTTGGATGAAAAACAGATCTGGTAACATATAATATCATTTTAATTTTAGCTGTATTCTACTTTGTCTAATCTAAACAATTTAAAATAACAGTTTACATGTAATCTAAATTTGTTCCTGAGCACTCTATTTTTTAGGCTAAAATAACCGTTTACATTACGAAAAGATTACCTGTACTGTTCTGTCTAATATCTCTAGTTGGTCTACATCTTATCCACCAGAAATAGAATAAGTAATTAGGTGAGATTAGTTTGTGTAGAAATAAGGAAAAAATTTAGAAATGGCAAAACAGCTCATATTAAAAAAGGACAGCAATAAAAAAATGTTCTCCTATAGGATTTAAATTGCCCAGATAAATACATAATAAGAATGCTGGGTATAATTTTGTCTGGATCGTTTATGTTTCTGGGACAAAGGGGGTTTAAACAGGTTTGTTGTTGATCTGGATTTTGAATATATCCAGGAATGGCACTGACCCAGAGTTAAGCCCAAACCCAAGTTGTTTGTGTTTTAAGAAAATGGCAGACTAACACTGTTGTTAGTGCCCACAGCAATCAATTACCAAGAATGCACTTCCTGGCCTTCGAAAAGTGGTAAATTGGCTTTGAAGGGCCAATCAAAGTGCTGTACAATCCTATACCAGATTAGGGAAAGATTACAGAATGTTTCAGGGAGAGATAGATGCTGTTGGTTATTTCTGAAAACATCTATATTTACAGTGAGCCACAGACACACTTCCTGGAATTCCTAAAGAGTGTCACAGGCACTCTTTAGAATTGTGTCACTCCTCCACGGAAACAGGGGGCAGCACTGGGACTGGAGTGTCCATACCATGGCTACACATCATCATTGGTTGCTATGATTCTGTTGATTTGCACAGCGTCCTTGGTTGCTAATTTGCTATTGGTTGCACCGCATCCTTGATTACTATGACGCTGTCAACTGCACAGTGTCATTGGTTGTTTTTCAGCTGATAGGGTCATAGCAACGAATGATGCTGTGCAGCCAACACCAACATAGCAAGCAAGGAAGCTGTGCAGCCAATCACATGTGTCCTTGCAACCAATAACCAGGGGGTTGGTAGAGTGCATGGCCTTGTTATTCTGAACTAACTTTGGTCTTATTTACCTCAATTTTTCTTATTTCTAATCTGGCAGCATTTGTTATTTTAATTGTCACAGCCATAGCACACTTCTGTAGCAGGTTTGGGAGAGATCACATAGTGTTTGCATACCTTTTTTGTGTGTCAGCAACTACTTTGGTTGCTGTTTGGCTGCTGGACACCCACCTTATTTTTTTTTGTGTTTTTTTTTGGGGGGGGGGTGCTTTTTTAATTTCACACTTTCATATTTTTGTTTTTTCATTTAGGGTTAAAATCATTGGGGGTGATGTGGGTTTAGTGTTTACTAAAAGTGTTTAAAGACTGTGCATGTACTCGCTGGAATATTTTGGATGTTTTTTTAGTACAATAAGAACACTGTAATATTGATTTATTTTTATTAATAGCTGACTGTTGTGGGTTCTGTTGACAAAGCAGCCTAGTCAAAGTGTTTAAAGACTGTGCACATACTAACTACAACATTTTAGGGGCTTTTTTTCAGTGAATTAAATACACTCTCTTAGGTTGATTTCTTGGTTTTAAAATGTCTGAGGTAGGTCTTATATAAAAAGCTGCCTAGTCAGTTTTTTTAAAGACTATGCACATATTTACTACAATATTTTGGGAGATTTTGTTAGGAAAATAAATATACTCTTATGTTGATTTCTTGTTTTTAAAGACTACACACTTACAAATTTCAAAATTACCTTTTTTTTTCTTAAAAAGGTATGTTTCCTCAGTATAAACATTTGATATGTTTCTATTTTCTATTGTGAGTAAAATACGGGTTTATGAGCGTTGCAAATCATTGCATTCTGTTTTTATGTAGATTTTACACAGCGTCCCAACTTATTTGGAATTGGGGCTGTATTTATGGTCCTTGCACTTTTTCAGTCCAGCCTGTTTTCTCAGGGGTCTATTCACAAAGCAGGAGAAGGATCTGGCCGTAGCTTCGGCCGAGTGATCTTACGGCTGGCTCCGGTCACTTGCATAGAGATCAGCGTCCCTGGTTACCAACTAACCAGGGACACTGATCTCCAGACAGCAAACTCTCCCGGGCACTCAGGGAGTCTCCCGCTCCCGACCCCCAAGGAGAGAAACACTGCTTTTTTTTCTTAAGAAACACTGCTTTTTCTTTTTTTTTTTCTTTATTCTGACACGGAGCGTGTCAGAATAGAAAAAAATTAATAAAATGTTGCCCATAGGAATGCATTGTTAGATTCCTATTGGCTATTTCAATTTGCAATAGCCAATAGTAAACTAGCATTGCACCCGCCCTCTGCTGATGGACCTGATGGAGAACTGCAGCAGAGGGCGGGTGCAATGCTAGTTTACTATTGGCTATTGCAAATTGAAATAGCCAATAGGAATCTAGCAATGCATTCCTATGGGCAAAACCATTTTTTCTTATTTATTCTGACACGGCTCCGTGTCAGAATAAAGAAAAAAAAAAAGAAAAAGCAGCGTTTCTCTCCTGGGCGGCCGGGAGCGGGAGACTCCCGGAGCGCCCGGAGGTTTTTTTTTATAAGAATAGACCAAACAGCAGCAAGTAGCCTGCCAGAGGTTCGCCTTAGCCGATCCAGATGTTGGATCGGTTGAGTCGAACTCCTCCTGCACTTCGAGTCGGCCGAACATCCTGAGCATGTTCGGCCGACGTGAAGCCAACCGATGTACAGCTGATTTCAGCCGATATACAGCTGAAATCAGCCGTACCAGCCTGAAGTGAATAACCGAACAGCGTTCAGGTCGTTCTTTCCCTCGGCTGCCTACGGCAGTTTACCTAGTCACCCTCAATGATTTCAGTGAGCGCACTTAATTTTCAGTTCCAAAAAAATAAAAACTCACCTGTTAAAAAAAACCCAACAACTTTCAGTTCCAGCTTATCCTTCTCTGTATTCTGTTTTCTTTGTCTGCTGCCTAATCTGCCACTTACTTGAGAAACACAGCCCAGGGTTCCCTTCCAACTAAACTCCATTCTCTCCATTAGAGACTTTGGGGAAGACAAACCTCTTTCAAGCGGTGCATTTCACCCTCTAGCAATTGCCTTTGTACTTTTGTTCCCATTGTCATCTCAGTTTTAGTCCATGATTTGGCAGAATACAACATTAGGTTTACTACCCTTTTCCTACCCTTCCTTTATTTTTCTAGTTACCAATTGTTTTTGTGCCTACAGTTTCCTTTGGACTTACCCTACTAGATTTCAGCCTCCCTAACATGCCATCTTCTGATCCTAAGAACCAGAGCCACCCATGGTTCTTTGTTAAGAGATGGCCCAAGATGCTGGATCAATGTTTGTTCATGTCACCCACCTTTATGTTAAACTGGTTTGTGTTTAATATTAGTGTGCTTAATTTTAAGTCCAACTCCAGACCATTTTTTTTTATTTTTGGACAAAATTTGGGTAGAGATAGAACCTCTGTAATCTTTTTTCTGTAGACAGTGACCCCTTTGGATAGATTTTCCCTTGCTTCCTATCTGGATATATAGTATCCAAAACAGTTTCTCAAAAATCTACTTTCTAAAATAGGGAAAGGCGAGAATCTCTTGTCATATAATTATTACTAGCTGTTCCTTTTTTTTTTGCTGGGTTGAGCTTTGATTATTAAACCATGTTTTGTGTGTTTATCTAACCAGTGATATCCTAGATGACTGCTGGGAGAACAACAATTTTTCAGGGAGTGGGCAAAATCTTTTGGATAGCAGCATATTCAAGAAACACAGAGAACATATAGGGCAGAAGGTAGCACTCGTGATCAGTGGAGACTTCCTGGTAAGTTATTTTTTGTAGACTGTGACAATGTGATATTTATTAAATTACAAAAATTATATTATTATATAGTTTTTCAAAGCAAAGTTTGAATTACTATTCATTGTGTTCAACTTCATATAAAATGTTTTGTTTGTTTGTCACAGGGACGGATTTTAACACCTAACAAAAGTAAAAAGCGCAAGTGGCAACTTTTCCAAAAACTAGCGGAACGCTGCAGTCAGAAAAAAGTGATTCCTAGTGAACTGGAAGAGAATATGAGAGAATATTCATTTATAGACCTAGCTTCTCAGTGCCAAGCTGTCATATGCTGCAGAGTGACACCAAAGCAAAAAGCTATGATTGTACAGCTCGTGAAAAAACACAAGAAAGTCATCACTCTTGCTATTGGAGATGGGGCAAATGATGTAAATATGATTAAGAGTGAGTTTGGTTTTATACATTTTTTAGTATTTTTGTCCCTTTTCCTTATTGATCGTCAAAAAGAGAGTGGAAAGACAGGTTTGTGATAGAGATGATTGATTGCTCTATATTATTCAATATGACAACTGATATACTGTAATTAAGCAATATACTGTACACTGTACAGTGCTGCTTAACAGAAGTATTTTCCCCTTTCCTATTTCCATTGCAAATTTTAGTTTTTTTTCCAAAATCTCATAGATCGTTGCTTATTATATCCACTGGCAACTATGGCGGCAACGAAAGTGTTCCACTGCTTGCTTTAATTACGAACAGTTGTAGATGATTTCTTCATTGCTGTTTACATCACAGTTTTATTTTTACACATTGGGGTTGTTAGTCCTAAGCTGGACCCCTCAAAACATTTTTAGGACCAGTAGATCACGCTTTGTATTGGCTCTACACTTTGACCTGCCTGGCAAGGTTGGTCCTAC